TTGACCACTTGCATTTCATACAGTTTTCACACGCCATGAACTACAGGCTTTTGGGGCTTCTTAAGCCTTTAAATGGTTAAATATATAAAAACAGTTCTTAGCTCATGGGCCATACAAAACAGGCTAAACGTGGATTTGCCCTTGAGTTGTAGTTTGCCAACCTCTGACCTGGTGCATTGGTTAGAAACCTGAAAGCTGAAATTAGCCATTCTTGACTAGAACTCAAATCCCACCATTTCTTGTGCAACCTTACACAAAATACAAACCCCTCAGTGTCTCCTGTTTTCTAGGCACAACAATGTCTATTTAATAATGTAAGGATTAAATAAACTTGAACTCTTATAGTGTACTCATTTAAGTAGCTTCATTTGAGGCTATAACTTTTTCAGGTAGAGAAGTAAACCTCCGTCACCTTGCTTCATCTTCTGTATAAACAAACAATAGCCAACTACTATTTTTGGCAAGTATCTTTTTGCAAAACCTGAAGCCTCTTTGGGTCATTCCCTTTCCTCCCTCAAATGATGCTGACTCCTCCAGCTTTAACTTAGAGATAGTTGTTGTTGTTTTTTTTTTTTTTTCCCAACTCTTTAATCATGTTCTGAAAGTCTTTTAAACTCTCCCAAATGTTTCATAATCCTCTGAAATTGGGATGCCAAGAGTGGACTGAATTTTATGACCAAGTGTGCAGCCATGATCTTTGCAAAACCACACGAAGCACTCCCAGAATTGCTGGTTGGTATTTTCTGAAAATATCAGTATTAGATCTAATGCTTATTCTTTCAGCAAGAGTAAGGTGTCTTACAGATTGTTAAATATTCACTTTGCTCTTTATATTGTAGTCATATTTGCTGTTTTTACTTGAATTCAAATTCCTATTGATGCTTTAAAGGATATCTTGTTTGATTTAATATTTTTCAACTCATTACCTCGGCAGTGCTCTTTTAAGAATTGCCTTTTTAGGGCGCCTGGGTGGCTCAGTCGGTTAAGCGACTGCCTTCGGCTCGGGTCGTGGTCCCGGGGTCCTGGGATCGAGTCCCTCATCGGGCTCCCTGCTCTGTGGGGAGCCTGCTTCTCCCTTGCTTGTGTTCCCTCTCTCTCTGTGTCTCTCTCTGTCACATAAATAAATAAAAAATCTTTAAAAAAAAAAAGAATTGCCTTTTTACCTTTATTTTCTCTTTTTTTTAATACAGATATATTTATAAATCCTCAATCACTGCCAGGACACTGCTGGGTGCACTTCTATAACAATACCTACCTTCCTCTACCCTTCCCCATTCATAACACCTGACAAACACTAATCTTCTCTCTGTCTGTATACTTTTTTAAAAGATTTTATTTATTTATTTATTTGTTTGTTTGTTTATTTATTTGAGAGCGAGAGGGAGAGAGTTGGGGGGAGGGGAGGGGAGGAGGGAGAGGGACAAGCAGACTCTGTGCTGAGTGGGGAGCCCAACTGAGGGCTCCAATCCCATGACCCTGAGATCATGACCTAAGTCAAAATCAAGAGTCAGACTCTTAACTGACTGAGCCACCCAGGCACCCCCTTTGTCTGTATACTTGTGTCAGTTCAATAGAGTTATATAAATAGAATCATACAATATATAGCTTTTTGGCACTGGCTGTTTTTACTGAGCATAATTCCTTGAAGATTTATCTGAGTTTTGTGTATCAGTAGTACAGCTTGCTCCTTCTTGACTGAGTCGTGTTCTATAGTATGGATGTACCACTGTTTATCCATTCATTGGTTGAAGAACATCTGAATTGCTTCCAGTTTGGGGCTATTATGAATAAAACTATTGTGAACATTCCTATAGTGTGTGTGTGTGCGTGCGCGTGCGTGTGCTTGCGCACACACACAAACATTGCTTCTCATTTCTCTAGAATATATACCGAAGAATTCAATTGCTGAGTCATAAAATAACTACATGTTTAGTTTTATAAGAAACTGCTAAACTGTTTTCCAGAGTAACTGTGCCATTTCACATTTTCACAGTGTCTGAGTGACCCCCTTTCTTCCCACCCTCACTAGCATTTGGTTCTACTATTATTTTTAAATTTTGGCCATTCTGATGGTTGTGTAGTAATATATCATTATAATTTAAATTTGAATTTCTTAAATAGCTAATGATGTTGAATATCTTTTCATATGCTTATTTGCTATCTGTAGATCCTCATCATTAAAATTTCTATTCGTGTATTTTGCTCACTTTCCTTTCTAATGTTGAGTTTTGAAAGTTCATTGTAAGTCCTGGATAATAGACCTTTTTCAGATACATGGCTTGCAAATAAATGTTTCCTCCAAGTCTGTAGATTGTCTTTTCATCATTTAAGCAGGGTCTTTCATAGGGCAAAAGTTTTTAATTTGATGAAGTCCAAGTTATCAATATGTTATGTTTTATATTTAAGTCTGCAATCCATTTTGAGTTCATTTTTTGGTATAATATGTGAGGCTTAGGCCAAGGTTATCGTATGCCATAGATCTACTACAGTTCCTCCAGCACCGTTTGTCAAAGAGGAAATCTTTCTTCCCTTGAGTTCCCTTTAAAACTTGGTAAAAATCAGTTGGCCATATCTGTGTGGGTCTATTTCTGAATTTTCTTTACATTTCCATTTATCTGTATTTGTATCTCTATAACACTTTTTTTTTGTTTACTATAGCTAAATAGTAAGCCTTAGGTAGAGTAATTTTATTGTATTATTTGTCAAGATCATTTCAGCTATTTTGGGGTCTGTGTGTTTTTATATAAATTTTAGAATAAGCTTGACCAAAAACTTTGAGAATTGCACTAAATGCAAAGATGGATTTGAAGATAAATGACATTTTCAGTCTTTCAGTTCATGAATGCAGTGTATTTCTCTGTTCATTCTGTGAGGGGGTTGCTGAATTCCTCAACTATAATTGTGATTTTGTCATTTTTTTAAAGATTGTTCAGATATAGCTTTAATCACTTCATAATTCTTAGACCATTGATGGAATATGATTTCTTTGAGGTATAATTGACATATAACATTGTGTAAGCATAAGGTGTACAATGTGTTGTTCGATGCATTTATATATCATAACATTTTTTCATGTTCAGTTAACCAATCATAGAGTTAACTAACACCTTTATCACATCACATAATTATCATTTCCTTTTGTGGCAAGAACATTTAAGATCTAGTCTCTTGGCAACTTTGAAGTATATAATATAGTATCTTTGATTATAATGACTATGCTGTGCATTGGATCGCCAGAAGAATGTGATCTTGAAAGTTCTTCTTTCACCATTGCAAATATTTTCCTCAAAGAGTAGAGCGACAAAGTAACAGGAATTTGATCTATTTCATGGGAGATAAAAACTCGTGACAAAACACACAAATTTGGAGTTGAAAAAAGTAGCAAATTTCCAAAGGGGGCAAAATATTTGGCAGTCTCCAGGAGTCCAAGTGGATGCTGAAGAATTAAGTTCTATGCTGTTCTGGTCCCCTGTAATACACACATAGTATGTGAAGATTGCACCGCATTCATTCCATAACAGACTACAATTGACTTGACTTTTCGTGCTATTAAATACTGACTTACGTAGCAGTCCCCATGGTAGGACATAAAGGGAAGCAATTGTTAACAAAGTTGTGACTAGAACCCAGTTTATCTAACATTTACACTCCATTTAATAGACTCACTGGCCATACATACATATGTAAGTCTACCCTTACCATCTCATGACAGAGACTTTTGTTAAATTTAAAATGAGAAGTCTCTTTTCTTAGTTTGGGCCTTTCTATTCCATAGCCACCAAAGACCTATAACTAAGGGCAAACTGAGGAACATTCTTTCTGGTAGTGTTACTATCTAATGAATCACAGCTGATTTTCTTGGCTGAGTAGTCTCAGAAGAAAGTTTTATAATGTGTCCAGAGTTTAATAATTGCTGAATCAGTATATCTTTATAGAACAGGAAAATAAGAAAACTCTGCAGGAAGCATGTTGAACAAGGTTTTAATTAAAAGCAGCTCTACAGCTGGCAGCAGCAGACCCTGTCCCAACTCTGTTTTTACAAAATTATCCAAAATATTTTATAGTAATCTCTACCGCCAATTATTATAAAGGCAGATGCATTCTCCTAACTGATATGGGTAAGAGTCATTTTCGGCACATATAATTAGTAGGGTAACAAATGTACTTATATGTTATAGTCAGCCAACAATGGGTGTGTGTGCAATAAAAAGTCCACCCCTATCTCCCTAGTGTATGACCTCAACTTTGGAAAAGATAATAGAAATGGTTTATGGAAGAGATTAGTTCCTGATGTTTATGCACTTACATTCCGCAGAATGTGCTGTTTGTTCCAAAACAGAAATGAGCTTGCTCTTGTAGTCAGTGTCTTATTTACATGTACACATGTGTCATGTTTCTAAAATATGTCCTCAAATATAAGCTCTACTCGTAGCTTCCAACGTCCATCTCTGTGTTGTCTTACGACATTTTCCTTCTTTTCCTCCCTTACTCCTATTTATGGCGAGTGGCAGTCTGACATTATAAAGAAAAGGCTAATCAAAAAAGCCTGCAGCTTTTTCAATTTTCAAAAAGAGAGCACTATGTTTGAGGTTTTATAAGCCATGCTAAATGTCTTCAGTTCTCTGGTGACTTTGATAAATTACTTTAAAGGAGTTTTGTTATAAAGAAACAAATCCCCAGGATATATAGTTCTCTCATTGCCTCATCTCCTTATTTCTCACATGATTGCCCTGGGACTCTCTGGGAACATCTGGGAGAGCTCTGATTACAAAATCCAAACTGTTTTTAGCACAGAGCAGTTTGTAATTCTGATTTCCTTTCATGCTGAATCTTGTGTTCTCATCCCTTCTTCACTCCTTTCAGATAGAAGCCATGTTCCAAGATCTCTTTTAAATAGGCTGAGTAAACTTGAGTTCCATGGACTTAGTTTTTCTCATCACTTAAGGGAGATCTGATATAACAGTTTTCATTACATCTCAATTGATATCATATAGGGTGAGGCAATTTAATATAAAGAGAGATGAGGGATATACTATAGGGATCTTGGTTTGCAAAGCCAATTTCTTAATTTCAGTGGTGGAGCAACAGATATAGTTCCTGTAGGAATTGGTTCACACACTTATTAGGACCTTGTACTCCAAATGTCAGCTTGGAATTCACTGAAGTTCGAGACTGCATGACGCTTTATTCCTGTGTGTATGCCTAATGCAGAGACGGGCATACAACACTCAATCATTGTTTCTTGAAATGAATTTATAGGCATTGATAAATAGGTAAGTAGATAAATTGGTAAATAATTATATTTTAGATTGTGCATCCTATTCTCATTTTTAAGATACTTGGTATTTTTTTTTTTTTTTGTTAGTGGTGATGATGGCACACTTCTGTGAATGTACTAAAAAAAAACCCCACCGAATTGTATACCTTAAGATGGTGAATTTTATGGTATGTGAACTGTATCTCAATATAATTTTTCAAAATGATCTTTATTTTTGTAAATACAATCTTTGTTTTTTAAGCCAATTTGAGGTAGATATTCTGTTTCTGGTAAACAAAAGCCTCCTCTCTGATACTTGGTGGGGCTGCCCTATCCTGATATCTGTTTCATTTCACTGCCAGAAAGGCAGTCTGGTGATGGTGATGAGGCCTGGCTGGCGATGCTTGGGCCTCTGGGACCAAGGATAGCCTGGAGAGCTGTGTGAAAGACCAGAGGTGCCCCCTCAACTTCTGAGAAAGACAGAGTCCCACGCTCTTGCCAAAATGTCCTGGGTCTTGCTGCCTCAGGGCTGCTCCTTCTGTGGCTTTGGAGGACCAGAGACTGCAGAGAGATCCCATCAGATTGGCTCATGAACTGCCATCTCCCCTTTGTAGTTCACTGGCCAGCCCATATTTTCAGATGCCCACATGGTAAAAGCAATGACCTCTCCTGGTTAGTAAAATTTAAAGAATCAAAAGCTAATGAGATAGGTATAATTTTTGAGAATCTGTTTTTGTCTGCTATATGGGATATTAAGGTAAAATGACAAGTTGTCTTAAGATGGTGCAGCCCTGTACAGAATCATAGCTATGGCTTATTTAGCTTTGCTGTATGTGCCTAGGATTTTATAACCATTATTTAATAATCTCAAAACAAGCTATGAGTTATGGCATTATTATTCCATCATGTAAAAAAGGAATTAAAAAATGGGAAATTTAAATAACTTCTCCAAAACTCCATGGTTGAGATTTGAATTCAGATATTGACTCCAAAACCTGGATCCTTAGCCATTATTGTTGGAACTAGCACTGAACTGAGAGAGGAAATTTTATACCACACCTTGATAATAGCTCTGTGTCACCTTGGGCAAATGATTTAAAATTCTTTGACATCTTTCCCATTTTGAAAATAAAAGTGGAACCAGTTAACATATAAAGTCCTTTTCGGTTTTAAGTGTCTTGATTCAGTAATCATAGATAGCTTTAGTTAATTTCAGTCACTGTTGTTTCTTTTCTACCAAATGCACAGTTGTGACAAAGGCAATGAAACCCCAGCCATACATGAGCACTCTTACCCATGAATACATAGGAAATAGGTGACTTATGTATTAAGTCACTTTTGACTATATGGGAAATACAAGAAAATAAAATAGATTTAAGGCAGGAAGAATACACCCAATTAAAGGCTCTGATTTTACAAGTAAGGAAAGTTTTGGCCTGAAGAATTTATGACTTGCCCAAGTTACATAATTATTTTGTTGTCAGAGATTGGACTACATCCAAAATCTTAGTGTATTTTTCTTTCTACTACCATGTGATATTGATTCCTTTCGTGAAGAACTTAAGGTTCAGAAGAAAGACTAGAAGCATAAAGAGTAGTACACATAATTGTGAGAAAAAAAAAAAAAAAAACCTGAGAAATCTGTGTCCAAAACAAATCATTTATGTGTGCATTCACTCAAAAAATATTCATTGACAACCTCTGTCTCATTGCTTACATAAGGCATCATTCCTGACAACAAAGAGCTTCTTGTTTAGTGGAGGAAGCAGATAAGTAAATAGGCTGTCACAAAAAAATCATAATAAATCCTATGATGAAAGGAAGCACAAGATACTCCAAGATGGAATATCTTATCCAGATTGTGTCGGTTAAAACACTGATCTCCAATTTTTTTCTTATTTACCTTCTAAAAAGACATATACAGATTTAAACCATGTACTCTCTTGCCTATTTTAAGTTATCTTTTCATCAGTAATGCATATGGTTCCAAGAAACTTCAATTTCTAGCATATTATAAATATTGATTTTTTAAAAATAAAATTATGTCTCTCATTTAAATATATCTAATAAAATTTAAATTGCAAGACAGTACGTCACCCGCTATCATTCACTAAAGTATACATGAGCAAGCTCTTCTTTGGAGGGCAGAATTTTTTAATCATTCCTTTTAATCCTTGAATTCATATGTATATTTTAATTCCTCTATTGGAGTTTTTCAAAGGTAATAGACTAACACATGAAAATATTTTCTTGATTTTCTTAATATTATTTCCTCAAGAAAAATATTTACATAGATTACATAAAACTAAATTATAATTTTAATGCATAATTTTATATATAATACATAATCAATTATAGATTATGTAATTAAATTTAATGAAATAAAATGATTTATATTAATAATGCAAATGTATTAAATAAATTTAATTTATATATAATTTTTCAATTTCCTGCATTTTATGGCTCTAACTGGTAAAATATTTTGTCTAGAGTTAGTATTGTAGTGTTTATCACTACTAACTAATAAAAACAAAAATATATGACTAATTTAATGACATGGATCAGAATTATTTTCAATTATTTCATGTATTTGTCCATGAATATTAATTATTGCTTGAGTAAAGCAGCTTACAACATTAATTTTATTACTTTTTTTAAAATCATTTTTATGGAGGCTAACACTTATAAAACCTTTTTAAATAAAACTGTATGTGTGAATGGAAGAAATTTTTTAGAGCAGAAGTACCAATTTAAAAAATTTCTTTCCATTTATATGCCAAAAATCACATAATAACCTATCATCAAATATGCTTAGTAAACCAAAAGCTCAAATAGGCATTCCTTTAATTTTATTGAAAGCAAAGAATTGAAAACCATCTGACATTAAATGGATTTGTTATCAAGAGTTACTCACTTTCTTAGTTGCTGAAAGATACTGCCATAAAGCTTAATTAAATTTGGTCAAAGCATTTTTAATTTTGCTTGTTACCCTTTCATTTAGAGGCACATTTATGAAGCCACAATTAGGTAAAGCTGGGGATAAAATTTCATAAAATTGGGAATTTTACATTGTAGTATTTTTTCCTTCTGTAATTTTAATGTTGATTGGGTCAAAATATCTTAAAAAGATATGAGAAGTGTACGGAAAAATAAATCGTCCATAATTATATTAGTAATTTCTCTTTATGGTTAAAAACAATGATTGCAATTATGTCTTTGACATAATTTATATACTTTATATCAACTGAGGGAGGAGGAACTTAATTTTAATTAAATTAAACTGATTCTTAAGGCACAAGATATATTTATACATGGATAACCTTTTGTCCTAATCCTCCATGTGGATATTAACATCAAAGAAAAAAAAGAGAAAGAGAGATTGGGCTCCAAGTAATTGTGCAGCTTGCAAAACGTATATTAATAATTATTACCAATTGTATTATTAATTATTGACATATTTGCAGAATCCACAATTTTCTATAAATAATTAGTAGGAATAAATAATGAACACATGTATATAGGACTGCAAGGAATTTGGGAAATATGGAGAATTGCCTCTATTTGAAAAATGGATATATTAAGTATATGTTTAACTTTAAAAGAAATCACCAAATTTTTTTTTCAAGGGATTGTACCATTTTGCATTCCCAGTGAAGGTATATGAGAGTGCCAGTTCTTCCAGATCTTTGCCAATTCTTGTTATCACTAGCTTAAAAAAAAATTATTTATGTATTTGAGAGAGAGCGCGCAGAATAGAGAGCATGAGCACGGGGAGGGGCAGAGGAGAGGGAAAGGCAAATTCCCTGCTGAGCAAGGAGCCCGACACTTAAGACTGAGCCACCTAGAAGCCCCTATCACTAGCTTTCTAAATTAGCCTCTCCAATAGGTGTGCAGTGTTTTATATCATTGTGTTTTAATTTGCAGTTCCCTGACAACTTATGATGTGGAGGATACTTCCATGGTTTATTTGCCATTCATATGTCTCATTTGGTTAAAGAGCTGTTCAATTCTTTTGCCTTAAAAAAAAAAAAAATCAGGTTGTTTGTCTTGAGTCATAAGAGTTCTTCATATATATATATATATATATATATATATATATATATATATATTTTAAAGATTTTATTTTTTATTTGACAGAGAGAGAGATAGCGAGAGAGGGAACACAAGCAGGGGGAGTGGGAGAGGGAGAAAAAGGCTCTCCGCGGAGCAGGGAGCCCGATGCGGGCCTCCATCCCAGGACCCTGGGATCATGACCTGAGCGGAAGGCAGACGCTTAACGACTGAGCCACCCAGGCGCCCCTCTTCATATATTTTGGACAGAAGTTTGTTTTTGTTTTTGTTTTAATCAGAAGAATGTTTTGCTAACATTTTCTCCCAGTTAGTGGTATGTCTTTTCATTTTCTTAAGAGTATCTTTTGAAGAGTAAAAGATTTTTAATTTTTAAGAAGTCAAATTTTTCAGTTTTTTAGTAGTTTACTCCTAGATGTTTAGCCAAGAATTATGAGAATATATGCCCTAGCAATGACTTGTACTTAAATGTTTATAGCATTTTATTCATACTAGCTCCAAGTTGGAAACAACCCAGATACCTATCAACTAGTAAATGGATAAATGAAATGTTTTATATCCATACAATGGAATACTACCTAGCAATAAAAATAAATGAACTACTGATACACATAATAACATCAATGAATCTCAAATGTATTATGCTAAATGAAAATGCCCAACAGGAAAGACTATATGCCATATGCTTTCATTTATATGCAATCTTACAAAAGACAAAACTATTCAGCAGAAAGCAGATCACAGTTCCTAAAGGCTGGAGAGAGGGGGAAAGGGCTTTTTATGCCTACTGAGCAAGGACTCAGGTGAAGGTACAAGTAATTCATTTTGGCTAAAGGACAGAGGGCATTGGCTTGGGATGAGGGTGGACCATGAGCTCTGATGGAATTGATCACTTAAGCATATGTTGTATGGACTGAGGGGAGAAGGCCACCTGACAGCTACGATGTT